GGGCCTGGTTTGGCTTTCATGCTGTGAGTTTGAGACTCCGAAATAGAGGCTTATGGCACAGTGTGATAGAGTGGTAAAGAAGCTGTGTCCAGAGAACTATGGGAGCCCAGAGGAGGGAGACCCAACTCTGTCTGGAGCATTCATTCATTATTCATTCAATAAATATTTACTGCATTCCTATCTAGTGCAGAATGCCTGGGATTCATAGGCGAACAAGATACACAGAATCCTTACCTCCATGGCATGCACAGCCCAGTAGGGGAGGCAAATACTGAACACTGAATGATGTTATTTACGATTTGGTTGGATATTGTATAGAATAATCTGAGGGACAAATGTATAGTGCAATGAGAGTCCGCGGGTGGATCAGGGAGGCCCTCCCTGAGGAAATGATGTTTGGTCTGAGATCTGAAGGATGATTAGGAGTATAACTTGTCTATTGACCGGGCCAGTCATTGACCATTTAATTCCAGAAATGAGCTAAATGCCCACTGGGGAGGGTCTAACTCAGAAAGGGCCATGATCTGGAGAAGAGGCCACTTGCTAGGAAGGTGTCCCAGATGGTCAAGTTTGGACCCTTTTCCTCCATACAATGTGCAGGACAGAGCAGAAATCCACTGGGGATGAGAGGAGGGAGCAGAGCAGCTTCCCTGCTTCCTTCCACCCAGAGCATGTGCTGTGACAGCAGTGTGTACCCAGGCCAGCAAAAGAGAGGCTTTGGGCGGATCTGGGAAGAGCGGACAGCTCCTTCAAAGATCAGAGAGAGGGTCTCAGGCCAACATTTTGGGAAGGAAAATTGGGGCAGAGAATGGAGGCCCCTGGCTCTCTGGGCAACAAGATTCCAAGTTCCATGAGAAGGATGAGCAGTGCTCACAGGGGAGCTGAAGTCTGAGGACTCGGGCTGAGGAGGCTCAGGGCCCACAGTTACAGCAAGAAGGCTTGGAAGTCAGGTGCATGAAGTTTGAGGTGTAGGGGAACAAGCTCTTCTGATCTGGTTTTGTATTCTATTTCCCTGCTGATGAGCTATGTGATTTTGAGCAACTTACTTAAACTCTCTGAGCTTCAGCATCGTCATTTGTGGGATGGACATTTTCTGTCTGCTTTGTGGATGGGGTGATTAAATGGGATCAGGAAGGTAAGGGCCTAGCACTGTGCCTGGCCTGCAGTTGATGTTCAATAAATTTGCGTTCCATTCCTCTGTCTCCCGCTCCTCTTCCCAGTAGAATAATTGCTGCCAGGAAACTCTCATCTTCTGTTGCTCTCACATCCACCAACCCCAGGGCACAGCCCCCAGGACCTCAAAGTCACAGGTCTCCACTCCTGCCTGTGTCTCCTCTCCATCCTCTGCTTCATCCGGGGCTCACCCTGGCCACTCCTTTTGCACATACATTTTTATAAAATAGACTACACATTCAACAGCAGACACAATCGTACGTTTCCAGAATATCCCCTTTGGAACACAGAAAAATAAGTAATGCTCTCCCCAGTCCTGGATCTCTAGGAGCATGGGTGGGGAAGGAGAGCTGCACTGAATCTTGGCTCTGACATTCTCCAATGTGCGACCTTGGGCACCATAATGCATAGGAAGGTGAAACACTTTACAGACGCTACTGTTTTTATTTTGCAGGATATTTTCCGATATGCCTACTGAGATCTGGAGGTTTTCCTTAGTACTTATTACTTTTTTCTGTTAAGTGGAGGACTTGGGTGGTTTCCACCCACGGACCTGACTGTTGAATGAATTTAACAGTCTCCATCAGTCCGCAAGCAAGTGCACCCTGGCTTTGCCGTCTGCTCAGCTGGTGTGAAACGGCCTCTCACTCCAGGGTGAGAGGCAGGCAAAGGAGATATTCTTGCCAGAACCGTCTCTCAAGAAGCCTTCTGGAAGGCAGGTCACAGTTCTAATGCTGGATCCTCTCTGCTGGTTGGTGGTGGGACCCAAAGCACTTGGCTGCCTGGCCCTGACCCTCACCTTCCTCAGGGAGGACTTGATGTTGTTATGGACATAATGCTCACATTAGGGGCTCAATTAGCCATTGGCTATCGCTATTACTATTTCTATAATGAGATCATGTGTGTGAATCACACGCACATACTTTGCACCCATCAATTTGCAGTAACAATTTATTTATTTATTCCATACCCTTCACTTCTCCCCTTGCTGACCTCAGGTAACCACTAATACACTCTTTATCTTCATGAGATCCACTTTGTAAGCTCCCACCTATGAGTGAGAACATGTGATATTTGTCTTTCTGTGCCTAACTGATTCACTTAACATCATGGTCTCCAGTTCCATCCACGTTGCTGCAAATGACAGGATTTTATTCTTTTTTATGGCTGAATAATATTCCATGGTGTGTGTATTCCACATTCTCTTTATCCGTTCATCTCTTGATGGGCACTTAGGTTGGTTCCGTCTTTCAGCTACTGTGAATAGTGCTGCAACGAACACAGGAGTGCAGATTATCTCTTTGATGTATTGATTTGCTGTCTTTTGGATCTATACCCAGTAGTGGGATTGTGGATCATATGGTGGTTCTATTTTCAGTTTCTTGAGGAACTTCCATACTGTTCTGCATAGTGGCTGTCCTAATTTGCATTCCCGCCAACATCTAGTGATAGCTATTTATAATAATCATGCTCATAATCATAATAAATAATGTACTCAAAGTCCTTGGTGGGCACAGAATGGGTCCTCAGTAAAGATTCTGAAGAAAAATCCAGGGGGATTCTGAGTGTAGACCCCTTGCTGCAGTGCCTGTGCCTGCTGGTGGTGAGTGCATGGTGGTATCAATACTGATGATCATGAAATGAGACCAAGTGTGTAAAGCACTTACCACAGGGTGGGGCACATGCTGGGTACTTGGTGCATGTTTCTTTTCATCTCCCTCCAGCACTAGGGGCACATTTCTCAGGCCAGAAAACTACAGAGCCCTAGGCTGCAGCATCCCTTTTAGCAACTCCTGGGCACAAGGCAGCCACCCCTCTCCTGCATCCTGGCTGTCTCCATCTGGCTCTTCTGGCCCTGGCAGACTCTAGGCTGGTCGGGCAGCTTGAGCACTACCAGTACCTCTGTGGGCTGCCCCAGGGTTGCCCTACTCCTCTCACCCCGTGGCCATCCTCACATGGACATGACTCTTGTAGGCTTTAGTGTCAACCTGGAACTGAGTGCCCCTTCTGAGAGGGGGATCTTGAGATCCTCTGGAGCTCTGACTCTGCACCCAGAATCTAGGCTGGAGGGAGAGGATCTCTGGGCACTGATGCCCCCTTCCCCATTCCCAATCCCCAGCTCAGGGTGCATCCCTAGCCTCCCAGGGAACTCCTAGGTGTTGGGACAACCTTGGCATGAACTATGAGGACCTAAGGGCCTGTGCTTAGGGCCACACCCACATTTTCAGGAGGCCTTGGGGACTGCATGAAAATAATCACTGGTGGGGCCTGGGGAAGCTGGTTTTTTCAGTTAGACCCACTCTGTCCCTCTTCAGGTAGATGCGTGAATGATCACATACATGCCACACACATACCCTCTCTATCATGCGCACAGGAATGTATGCCCAGGTCTTTCCCTAGACACGCCCCACATACCCAGGCCCTCACCCAGGCACGTGCACACACACACACACCCCCACATCCAGGCCCTAACCCAGAGACACACACACACACACACACATAGGCCCTCACTCAGGGACACACACACACACACACACCCACATCCAGGCCCTAACCCAGAGACACACACACACACACACACACATAGGCCCTCACTCAGGGACACACACACACCCCCCCAGGCCCTCACCCAGAGACACACACACACACACACACACACACACACACACCCAGGCCCTCACCCAGGGACACACACACACACCCAGAGACACACACACCCAGGGACACACACACACCCAGGCCCTCACCCAGGGACATACACACACATCCAGGCCCTCACCCAGGGAGACACACACACACCTAGAGACACACCCAGGGACACACACGCACACACACCCAGGCCCTCACCCAGGGACACACACACACACCCAGGCCCTCACCCAGGGACACACACACACACCCAGAGACACACACACCCAGGGACACACACACACACCCAGAGACACACACACACACACACCCCCCCAGGCCCTCACCCAGGGACACACACACACACCCAGAGACACACACACCCAGGGACACACACACACACCCAGAGACACACACACACACACACCCCCAGGCCCTCACCCAGGGACACACACACACCTAGAGACACACCCCTAGACCCTTACACAAGCACACACACACACACACCTCTACTCTTACACACTTGTGGAAGCTCCAGGATCCTGAACACGTATCTGAACCTATCACCCTGCACATATCTCCTCACATGTGTCAGATATTAACGCCCCCCTGCCCTTGCTCACAGACACACACGTGCACTCACACATATGGGCACCCATGGACACCTCTACACCCTCCCAGACGCCCCCACACCCTCCCCAAGCACAGGTACATGAAGGTGCACCCCCACACGCCTGGATAAACCCATACACTCACCCCGAACCCACACGCCATGGGCACACCCCTCCTTCCAGTGGCAGCTCTGGACCTGCCCGTGCCCCCCCATCGCCCCCCGTAAATGTGCAGCCATCCCGCGTCCCTGCACTGCCGCAGCCCCTCACTCGGGGCCCTCAAACAGCACGCTTATAAAAACATTCTTCCCGTGATGGAGTGCTTCCTTTGGGCTTCTTTGGCTTGTAACAGATTAAAGGCGAACAGGCATTTGTCACGGGGAAGTGTACCCAGTTGTGCTGGAAAATGGACTTTTCGATGAGCGTGAGAGCTTGAACCTGTCACAGAGGGGAGAGCCTGTGTTATTGCAGCCTGCCGGGCCGCGGTGGCCGTTGCGGCTTATCGGCTGTGGCAGGCATCACCTAGGACTGAAAGGATCCCATTACGGTAAGTAATGGCTTAATCACAGCCAGTTTGTAATGGAGATGACCTCTCCGCGTCCCGCTGGCCTCTTCGGATGGATTGCGCCTCTCCACACCGTGACTAACAGCACTCCCATTCTGCTCTCCTGAGAAAGGGCCACGGGGCTCAGCCGGACATGACACAGACGGCTCCTGGGAGGCTGCTGCAAGGGGGAGCAAGGGCAAGGGCACGGGGAGGAGGAAGGGCCCGGGCACTGGGCACCACTGGGCCCAATATCTGACACAGGCGGGAAGCTGAGATGGGGAGAGGGCAGGATGCCACATGCGGTCCCCGTCTTTTCAAGAGTGATAGTGACAGTGAGAGCTGCCATTGGATAGGTGCCAAGAGAGGGTTTGTGTTTCCCAGGCTTCATCTTGCTCCAGTCATGGGAAGTAGAGTATTACCGTCCCCACTTTACAGATGAGGAAACTGAGGCTCAGGAAGGACAAGTGACTAGTGCAAGATCACAGAACAAATAATGGAACCAGGGCTCAGCCTGGGGCTGGGCATCCTTGGAGCCAACGTTCTTGGCTATTGTATCCAGAGAGAATCCATTCTGCTTTTGGGTGGGGGACCTCTTGCCACCTTCCTTCTTTAGCAGGGCTGTAGCTGAACCTTCCTCGTTGGTGTGCTCTTGTACAGGGAAGCTTCACTTTCTGCCTGTTTGTTTGTGTGTGTGCCACATGTTTGAGTATCCCTCTGCAGCTGGCCATTGTGGGGGGTTGAAGGCCACTGCAGCCTCAGTCCAAGATCAGGAGGTCAGGAGCTCCATGGTGAGCACAGGAAGTCCGTCTTTGGAATTTGCGAGACTGTGTGTCCCAGGGGTTGACTTGGGGGTATCCTGGAACTCCAAGTTAACGGCCCCATCCTCTTTCCTCCACCAAGTCCTGCTCCTGCCACTGGAGCAATGATGCGCCAGGGCCCGAGGCAAAACATCTGGGGACTTCGTGGAAGAGTAAAAGGACTCTTTTCTTTTCTGCTTTTGTTCATTTCCTCAGAATCACGTTCAGCTCCTGGAGAAGAGGGTGGAGCTTAGAAAGATTTGGAGCTGAGTCCAGGCTCCACCAGTGGCCAGCAGTATGACCTTGAACAAGTCCTGAACCTTCTTAAGGCTTGAGTTCCTCACTTGCACAATTCCTAAACCAACTCATAGAGACATGAGGCTTAGATGCCATCGTGTGGGTGAAGTATCCGAAAGTGAACCTGCTACCTGGTTGAGACCAAGGTGAAACACTTTTAGCAAAGCTTGCTGGAGAGAGGACAGGAAGCAGTGGAGTTGGGTGCCAGGCATGTGGTCTATCTGTGGTCTTGATACTCTACCGCAGAAGATTGTAACCACAATGGTAATTAATATTTGATGAAAATTTGTTCACTGTGGAACAAACACTAGTGCTTCCCATGGATTTCTCATCTAATTCTCCTGAAACTCTAGGTGATAATGAACATTATTATGATTCCCATTTTGTGGATGAGTCAAAGAAGATCAAAGATCCTGCCAGTGTCACATAGTTAGGATATGGAGCTTCTGGATACAAACCCAGGCTGTCTGGGTAAGTGTCAGTGCATTTACTACTATGCTTGCCTGTGTTTGGGATTATTCAGAAAATCCCAAAGTTCTGCTCCCTTTGCTTTTGGAATGCAATGCGAGCACTTCTCCCATTGCCTATGAATCCAGTGTGAGCAACATTCCAGTCCAGGGCAGGAGCAGGAGACTGGGGGCAGCTGGAGGGACAGGGCTGAACCCAAGCTACGTTCAGGAAGGCACTGGGCCACAGAGAAGAAGTAACATTGGTGGGATACCCTGACTCTAAGGCAGAGGGCAGAGGGAGCTGGGCTTGGAAATTCATGAAATGGTGTCTGGACATGGGGTCTGCAGAGAGCACTTTGTTTTGCAGACTGATTTTTGCCGCTATGCTTACCTGCAAGGCTTCCTGAGACAAGGCTGCTGCCCTGTGACAGGAGGGAAGTGGCTGCTGAGTTTCGTTTACTTAGTAATATCTATTCAACGAATATTTATTAAGTGCCTACTATGTACCAGGCATTGGGCCAAGCAGCCATTGAGTTTCCTTTGCTTAAAACATTTATTCAATAAATATTTATTAAGCGCCTACTCTGTACTGGGCCAGGCACTAGGGATTCAGTGGTGAGCAAGACAGACACAATTCCTTCCTACCTGGAGGTTGGCCAAGGAGATGCAAAGAAATCCCAGCTCAGCACCCTCGGAAGCATTTATCAAGGATGTACTCTATGCCAAAGACTGGTACATCACCCTATGACATCCCTCATAACAACTCCATAAAGAAGTATTACTGTGATGTCCATTTTTTCAAATGAGAAAGCTGAGTTGCAGAGAGCTTTAGTGACTTGCCCGGGGTTGCACAGCTGGTAAGTGACAGAGCTGAGCCTTGAACCCAGGTCTGCTGAAAGCCTATGTTTTAACCAATGTGACTCTGCTATGTTGTCTACTGGCAATATCCCTGCAGGTCTGAGACCTTCCTGGGATGTGGAGTGGAGGAGGGGGACAGGGCTCTGCCCTCTCCACCTGGAAGGCTGCTTTCTTACTTCTCTCCCTCACATCTCTCCTCCAACCCAGCTTTCCCCAACCCCCAATGCCTAGGCCTTGCCTTCTCTGCAGTTGGGGAGAGCTTATTCTCATGCTAATTGCAAAACTAATTGTTCTTATTGCAAAATCCATTATATAGTATATTTATATTGCAGATAATGAGCTGTTTGGATTAAATAGCTCACTAAAAGTCAATAAAAAGAAATTTGCTTCCCTGTTCCTCCCCTCATTTTTCACCAGCACCGTTAACACAGCCGTCGTTCTCCCTGAAGGCTGGAATTCATTAAAGTGCCTGGAGCTGCAAGGGGGTGTCGCTGTGTGGTTTTTTCCTTTCCCTTTGAAAAGGCCTTTGGAGGAGAGAGTTGGAAGACAAGAAGCAGGTTCTTTCCCCTGGTTTTAGTGATGCAGGGGGTGACTAACCAAGTAGAGTGCATCTTAATTTATAGCAGAATCAAAGAACATGATTTCTCCAGAACAAAAGCCAGAGCTTAGGGGGGTGGGGCATGTGCTGGGGGAGTGGGCGTGGACCTAGGAGTGAACTGACAGCCACTGCCACCCCCAAAGGAGGGGGGGAATATCCGAGGTCCTTGGCGCTAAGCTCTTTACCCCCAAAGGGGTTGGGGACTGGAATGAGGCAGGGGGATGACAACCCCAGGTCATGCGCTGGGAGAGTGAATATCAGATTTGAAGCTAAGGGTCTGGATTTCCAGGTTCTGACCCTCACTAGCACCATCTATTATGGGCTCCCTAGAATTTTCCTGGTCTACCCATTTCTCTGGTCTTGGTTCTAAACCTGAAGGTGGTTCGTGCAAGCTGAGACCTACCAGGGAGAGGGCTTGTCTGTGAAGTTCTAGGGTTACTGGCACAGATATTCTGCAACTACTGCTTTATTTCACAGAGTGTGGATTTTTCAGGGAGAGCTGACATTGAGACTTGAACCCAGGTCTGTGCACTTGACCTTCCATGGCACTGCTCTGAGTAATCAAAGTGGGGCTGAGAAGAGGGTCTGTTTCTTATTTTTTTTCTTAGGAGCCAATCTCGTGTTTGGTCTGATAAAATGGCATGATCAGAGTGTTAAGATGACCTGGCCGAGGGCCACCAGCTTTGTCAAACCCACAGTGATTAGCCTTTTCTCAGCCATTCACTCGTTCATTCATTCATCCATTCCATCCATCAGTAATATGTATTGAGTGCCCATGAGGGTCAAGGTGGTGTGTTAGCCCCTGGTGATGACTCTGAATAAAATCAGGCAAGGTCTTTTCTCTGTCTCATGGAATTGTGGGGGCAGATACTAGCCAAATAGTCACACAGATGAGTGACTCATTAAAACCAAAGCAAGTGCTTTGAAGGAAAGGAGAACACTTCTAAGAAAGTAATCCTAGGAAGACCTAACCTGGATGGTGGGGCCAGAGAAAGTTTCCTGCAGGCTGTGCTAGGTGAGCTGAGTTCTGCGGGGTGAATTCCTCGGACAATGAGGAAGGAGGAGAACATTTGAGCAAAAGTCCACCCCAGAGAGGGAGCAAGTGGCAGTCATGGGACAGCAAAGAGGGTCAGCAGGATGAAGCTGGGATCCCAGCACATGTGAAGTGGTTAAGGAGTTTAATTCTTTACCGTGGAAGCAATGGTAAAACATTGAGGGGTTTAAGGCAGAGAAGTGGCGTGGTTTGTGCTTTAAAAAGTTTTCTCTGGTTTCCAGCGACATATCAGAGGCAGCATTGGAAGTATTAAGCTGCAAAGAAGGGTGGAAGAGCCTGTAGAGAGAGGGGAGAGGAGGGAGGAGGGAAGGAGGGAGGGAGGGGGAGACAGAGAGAGAGAGAGAGAGAGAGAGAGAGAGGGAGAGAGAGAGAAAGAAAGAGAGAGGAGGAAGGACCTCACTAAGGATGGAGAAAAGGCAATTTGCCCAGAGAAAATCAAAGTTGTATTGGGAAGAGGAGAGAGATGCTGGCCATCTTCCCATTCAGTGCAGTACTGAGCAGACCATAATTTGGGGGGCTGATTTTAAACTCTCAGATGACAGTGATGTGGCACCTCACTCCAGCACCACGGAGAGTTCCTCAAACCATTCTTGGAAACTTTGGGGGCCTTGGTTACATCCCCAGGGATGCTCAGCTCAGTGCTTGGAGAGCTGGCAAAACCATTGTAGAGCTGTCTTATGGAAGCAAGGCAAACAAAGAGATGCTGGGTCATTGCTGCACGAATGCCCTGGACTTGTGGAAGGGAGAAGCCTTGGCATTGGCCAGCCTGGAGCAGGGCTTCAGGAACCCCCAGATGGAACAGACAGGCTAGTGGCAAAGGGAAGGCAGCCTGAGAAGGTCTCGCTCCAGGCAGCTGTAATGGCTGTAATCTACAGCCATCTTTACCTAAGGACTTCAAAGGAAGAGGAGAAGAGAGAGAGAGAGGCAGCTGGATGCTGAAGCAGCTTGAATGTGACGGAGATCAAAGGCAATAGAAGGTGGTTCTATGCACTTCCCCAACCCCCTTCCCCAGCCTCAGCATCCACAGAGATGCTTTGATGGAGGGATCCCTAGGAAGGAAGAAAGGCTCCAGGAAACTGAGTCCAGCAGAAGGGGCACAAGAAGTCCCCCACAGACCAGACAGCCCCTCCTGGGGCGGAGGTCTGAGGAGCTTAGGGTTCCTGCATTCTGGGGCCCCCTCCCCCAGGCAGACAATCAAGGACTCCTAGGAGGAAATAATGATCTCTTTGAGCCTTGGTGGTGTCCCCTGTGTGGGTTTGTGTGTGCCCCTAGATTCCCCTCCAGTCCTTCAGAAAGTTATGAAGTTGGCATGGCAGTTGGTGTGTGGCATGTAAGTGGGGAACCAAACCGACATGGTCAGGAAGGGCTGGTTATTTTTGCTGCATCTCTGGGCTGGGTTAAGAGATGGAGGTTGTTTGGGGGTTGCTTCCCTCTGCGTGGCAGGCTTGGGATCCATTGTTCTTGGGTTTAGGGACATGGACCAGATGACTGCTTATTGCAAGTTTTTCTTCCTAGGTCTTTAAAAAGATTTATTTATATTTTGTGTAGAGACAGAGTCTCACTATGTTGCCCAGGTTGGTCTCAAACTCCTGAGCTCAAGTGATCCTCCCACCTTGTCCTCCCAAAGTTCTGGGATTATAGGCATGAGCCACTGTACCTGGCCTCTTCTTAAGTCTTGATGGTGTCCCTGGATCTGGGCAGGAGTCATTGCCTGTTGACCCTGCAGCCAGCAGTGACCTCTTCTATTTTGAGTCATCTCTCTGCTCGTAGATCTGGGTCTTCTGTGAGTGTCTGGGTCTCCATGGACAGCAAGCTCCATGAGGCAGGGTCCCTGGAAGAGGCACTGACCATCCTTTTGGACACAGCTTGGAGCCAATAATAAGAGTCTGAGTGAATAAGTGAATGAGTAATGAGTGACATTTTGCTTGTGCTATGACAGGTGCAGTTTAGGAGTAGCTCCCTTCTGGGAGCTGGGTAGGGATCTGGGTCCCTAGGTTTCTGGGCTTTGGGGAGGGTGAGACGTTTAAGGGGTTTAGTTTCTAATAACCAGAATCCAGGATGGAGGCTTGGAGGAGGGCCAAGGGCTAGGTTTCTGGCAGCACAAGGTAAAAACTGTGTTTATGCAGATGACTGGGATAGAGAGTATGGGGGAACTTGTGGGTGAGGAGGGCTTAGCAGAGGGAACAGGGCAGAAGCTGAGAGTCTTCAAGTGCTATTGAGGCAGAAGGGGGCAGCTCAGGATAACTCCAAAGGCTTCAGTGAACACAGGGTACTCACACAGCTTTTGGGTCTGGAGACTGGAGGACTGTGTGTGTGTGTGTGTGTGTGTGTGTGTGTGTGTCATAACAGCTCTGAACTTTGGAGAAATGCATGAAGGTTCTGGGCCTGGAACCCCAGGAGGTATTTGTGGGTGTCTTTGGGAGATGCTGTGAGAACTCAGAGGAGAGGGCATGGTCCCACAAGGTGAGGAGGTGCCTCGGGGTGCCTGGAGTTCCAGTTAGGGCAGACAGGGCCTCTGGGAGGGCAGATGCCGGGACCTCTGGGATGTTGGGGGAAGAGGCATTCCTTCGAGCCCTATCTTCCCAGCACTAATTGGAGTGACTGGCCAGGGAAAGTCCGGGCTTGGGGTTTTTCCCCCTTCAGTTGGGATATAGGAGAATTTCCTCCTTAGCAACTCTGCAACTACAGAAAGCAACTCACAGAACACATGTGAAACCACGTGTACCCAACTGGTAAGGCCGGCAAGATAACTGGGGGAACCCACCCTGAGCTCACCTTGGCCTTCCCCTCAGCCATTCACCTGCAATGTGGGAGACCCAACACAAGAAATGGATGAACAGGCACCTGCCTTATGGGGCATGGGGGTGAACTCACTGGGGTGGGAGAGGGACCACTGGTAAGGGCAAGCTCAGGGCCTGGTAGAGCTGGACCTCAGGGAGGGTCTGAGAAGTGGTTTTTTTCTCCCCTGAGAGACAGAAGTGAGTGCTCAGAGCCCTGACCTCAGTCCTGGAGGGGCTCACAGCTCCGTAAGGAAGACAGATGGGAGGTTGGGAATAAGGTGAGCCAGTAAAGGCAACGAGAGCAGATTTGTGAGTGTGTGTGTGTCAGAGCAAGTGTGCATCTTTGTGTGTGTATAAGTGTGCACCTTTGTGTGTATAAGAGTGCGTTCCTCGGTGTGTAAGAGTAAGTGTATGTCTCTAAGTGTGCAGCTCTGTGTGTGTATAAGAGAAAGTGTGCACCCTCATATACTCTGTGTAGAGGAGTATGTGTGTACTTAGCAGTGTGTGTCAGAGTCAGTGTACACCTGCTGGCCTGCCTATGTGCATGTGTGTGTATCCTAGGCGGGAATAGGGAAGCTGTGAAGGAAGATTTAGTGCAGAGTACTTGTTTGTGTATTTGAGGGCTTTCATGATGCACAAACGTGCATAAAGTGTCTGTGAATGTGTCTGGGGCACTTGGGGTGTGTGTGTGTGTGTGTGTGTGTGTGTGTGTATGGGCCTCTGCTGCATGCTCCAAGGGCAATGTGAGTTGTGCTTCTTTGGTGTGAAGGGGGAGATCTGGGTAGGGAAGGAGTGTGAGTGTGTGTGCGTGTGTGTGTGTGTGTGTGTGTGTGTGAGAGAGAGAGAGAGAGAGCGCGTGAGCGTGCCGAGTGGCAGGAATGACAAATGATTAATCTATAGAAATCTATATTCTATTCTTCCATGCGTCCACTCCGCCCTTCTCACGCGCCCATGCATCACCTCCGGAAATCTATCACCCGACTCCCAGCCAAGGACAGGCTGCGAGGAGCGAGTGACTGCCTTATTGATGAACTTGCCTGGTGCTTTTTACACATTTGGATACACGGAGAAGGAAAGCTCACTCTGGCTGTGTCGTTCGTGCTCTTATTCACTTATTCATTCATTCATTCATTCAGTCATTCATCCAGCAAATAGTTCTGGAGTGCCTACTGTGTGCCAGGAATGGTCCTGGGTGCTCAGGGCATGATGAAGAATAAGGCATTTCTGGCATTAAGGGCCAGTGTGGGTCCCAGACAGCACATAGGCCACTTCGGTAGAATGTGCAGGGGGCTCTGGAATAATACAGGGGGTTTGGAAATTAACCATGGGGCAGGGGCCGTTCACAGAGGCTCCTGAGGGAGGTGACATGTACGGGAGCTCTGAAGGGTGATACAGCCGAAGGGGAGGGAGAGGAGAGGGTGCGCCAGGCAAAGAGATTAGCAACTGCAAAGGCCCAGAAGCAAAGAGAGCTTGCCTCTTGGGGAAAGCGTAGAGTGAGTCAGATGGCTTGGAGTGTGAGGAAGAAGTAGTAAGAGATGATGCTACAGAGGTGGCTGGTGACTGAGGGATGTTGAGTGCCCTGTGAAGAAAGCTGGATTTCATCCCAAAGGGAGCCATTGAAGGGTCTAAGCAGGTGTCACATGGTGTTGCATTTTAGAAAGTGACCTCTGGCTGATGGTGGGGAGGCTGGACAGGAGGCAGGGAGGCCAGTTGTTAGGAGGCTGTCATGGCAGTTCCAGGTAGGGATAGTGGTGGCTTGGATTCCAGGGGTGGCAACGGGAGTGGAGAGGTGTGGCAGAGCCCAGAGGTATTTTGGAAGTGGAACTAAGGGCTTGGTGACGGAGGGGTGTTGGCATGACAGAGTGGTAAGCATGACCCTAGGTTTTGGGGCAAGTCACTCGACCTTGCTGAGCCTCCATTTCCCCATCTCTAAAATGGGGAGAACAATTCCTGCTTCTTAGAGTTGCTGTGAGGCCGTTTGGTTGACACTCAATGGACCACCTTGGAACGGAATGTCTACTCTTCCCCTCCCATCACATGCACCAACTCCAGGTCTGCTCTTCTCCAGAAAGGTTTGGGCTGACCTACCTCCCAGTGGCTGTTTCTTAAACCACACTCTGGGCAACCCCTGGACTGTGGTGCCAGTCCCAAAAGCCCGCTGCTTTGAACCACTGAGGGAGACTTGGAGGTTGTCCAAGCCAGCTTCCTGTTCCAAGATGGGCAACCAGGCACTCAGAGAAGGAGAGGACCTTCTCAAGGTCACCCAGCGGGCCATTTAAACTTGCTGGTGTTCAAGAAACCACAGGCCATCCTCAGGCAGGCTGACCCCATAAAGGTCATCATGTCCCACCTCCTGCTGTCAGACCCGAAGTATCTCCAACCAGCAGGCGGCCTGCCTGTTCTTGGAGGTTGCTAGGGAGCTGAGCTTCCTTGGCCGAGGCATGTGGTTCTTGGCTGCCCTCAGGGAAAGGGCACTGGCCAAAGTCCCAAGGAGGCTCCCAGAGTGGCTCATTTTTCAGCTCATCCTTGTGGGGTGCGAGGAGACGTCCAGACATGAGTGTTTACTTCAACTCCCAGGGCAGCCAGACAACTTCTGATCTTGGAAGCCTCCTCACTTCAATCTACTGCTTCTGTACATTTGGATAATGTTCCATTTTGCAAAACAACAAGTTCTCTTTAGACGCAGGCAGAGCTGACAGTTATCACAGCAAAAGCATTATTTTGTTTCTCTTTCCTCCCCCTCCCTCGCTCCCTCCTGAGCGAGCGTGCATGATGGTATTAGAATACTGCAGTGCAAAGGCGTCTGTTCGTCTCTTCGGAGTGTGGCATGAGAGGCGCTGCCACGTGGGGGGGCCACGGGAGGGCGTCTTGGCCAGCATTCCCGCCTGGGCCTTTGATGCACTGCTGCATTTGCGGAGGAAATGACACTGGTGACAAAAGCGGACCCAGTTCTTCTCGGGAAGAGCTGAAAAGTGCCAAGGAGAAGGCCCTGCACACTTAGAATATTTTCAAATTAAGTGACAGCGGGCACAACACGATGGGGGAGACGGCTTGTGTTTCTTTGGAGCATTCAGTCACAATTCATCATTATCCAATTTTTTTTTCCCCTTGGGTTTTCTCTCTCACACATTTTTTATCCCAATCTGACAGCTAAATGAGGAATCACACTGCCTACGTTTTGCGTTTTGTTCAGGAATTAACCCGTCGTCAAACACGCGCTGCCAAGTGGTTGGTGTGAGCAGAGAGTGACTGCACCGGCCCCAGATGGCCCGTGTCACACGGGGCCTATCCAGCTGGCCATCCTGAGGATGTGCTTGGAAAAGGTGGCCAGCAGGAGACACACCAGCTTCTCGAGAAGGGCTGAAGCCCAACGTGGAGCTCTGCGTGTCCCCGAGCTCTGGTCACAGACTTCTTGGCCAGAAGAACTCTCCAGGTGCCTTGGCCTGATCCTTTGTCAAGTTCATGGTGTCATCACATGTGAGGTCATTCTGCCCCTCCATCTGCCTCTGGCAGCCTTGAGAAGAGAGGCATCAACCCCTGACCTCTATGAAGGGGTTAATTCAGCTAAGCTGATAGCTCTCCTTTTGGGAAATCCTTGAAATACTTGACTCTTACCTACTGCAGTGGGTCTACTTGCTTTACCTTCTCAGCATGTTTCTGGGTACCAACTCAAACTTCAGCTCAGAGCAAGGCGGAAGCGAGGGATCTTTGGGGGTGTGTTTGGTCTTTCAAAAATGGACAAGTTTCTTCCCTTCTCCCTTATTCTTTCCTTCTCCCCTGATTTCTTTTCTTCCCAACTTCACCTTCTTTCCTTCCCTCCTTTCCTTTCCCCCTCCTGTCCTTTCTCCTCTCCTCCTTCTTTCCTCCTCCCTAGTTTTTTTTTCTACGCCAGTGATGAATAAGATCCTGCGGTGGATAAGGCAGACCCGGTCTTTGCAATCAGATAGTTGCCAGTGGGGTGAGTTCTCAGAAGGTGAGGCATACGGCACTCCCTGACTGTGTGTTGGGGAGCCCCTGCTGAAGACAGCTGCAGGAAGCTAGGTGATGAGCAGGCAAGGCTTGGAGATATGGGGAAACCCAGGCAGGAGCACGCTCTCCAGGACCTCGGCTCTGCTAGCAGGCACATCTCACCCATAGACTGTTAGTTGAGTGAGAGACGAACCATGCCTGGCTTTGTTCATCCACATAGCCCAGCTCCTAGTGCAGACCAGGTGGAGATGCTCAGTAGGCACACTACGCTTGAGGTCAATGAAGAGACAGGAGAGTGGTGGTGACCATGAGCTGTGGTACTGGCCACACCCAACATCCCCAGGTTCCTTGGTGGCTGGCAATTTCCAGCCAATAACTGGTGCTCCCAAACTCTCGTTGCCTATAGATGTCACCTTGAATGACCTCCAGCTTGTGTTGAGGAGGGGAAGATTATTTTATGCTGGAGAGAGGGCAGTCCAAACAGCTAAAAGCACAGGCCCTGAGCCATGTGGTGTGGCTCAAGTCCAGGTTCTGCTACTTCCTGTTTGTGAGGCTTTGGCAAGACCTGTAATCCCACTGAGCCTCAGTTTTCTCCTCTGTAAAATGCAGATGATGAGAAGAGGCTCTGTCTCTCAGAGATGAGACGAGGATTAAATGAGATGATGTGTAGCTGGTTTGACACACGCCTACCGTTTTATACCTATTTTAACAGGGGTGCTGATAAATTTGCCCCAGCCTCCTCTCTCTAGCTCTGGGCCCCAGGGTGTTCTTGCCCTTGTCCTTCTCTGGCCAGCACAGTGATCTACCTGTCCACGTGTTCTCTCCTTCCTTCCAGCTTGGCTAGGTGGGGATGCTGGCGAAGAAGCAGATGGCAGCCGAGACTGAGTGTGACGGTGATGACACTGTGAAAGGGTGATAATTTATTCTGTTCAGCCTTGACTCGGAGTTGGAAGGAGAAATCTATTACTTCTGAAAGGCAAGGCTGAGGGCGACCTCCCTTTCTGACCTCTAACAGGTAGCGGGCCCTGGGTCTCGCTGGAGATATGGGGAAACCCAGGCAGGAGCACGCTCTCCAGGACCTCGGCTCTGCTAGCAGGCACATCTCACCCATAGACTGTTAGTTGAGTGAGAGACGAACCATGCCTGGCTTTGTTCATCCACATAGCCCAGCTCCTAGTGCAGACCAGGTGGAGATGCTCAGTAGGCACACTACGCTTGAGGTCAATGAAGAGACAGGAGAGTGGTGGTGACCATGAGCTGTGGTACTGGCCACACCCAACATCCCCAGGTTCCTGGAGAACAGGCCTGGAAGGCCCCCCAGGGGCCCATCCCTGAGCAGGGACTTACGGCAGGGATTGGGAAGTGAGGAGCAGGCTGCAGGTTCAGCCCCAGAGAGAGGCGGCTGGGAGGCAGCAGGGCTCTGGCCCCACGCGGCAGGGATGCCAGGTGCAGGAGCAGTACTCAGTGTCTCTGCCTTGGCCCGGGCACTGGGTTGGGCCCGGCCTGCACGTGGGTCTTTTTCTCTTTCATCCACTCATCTTTCTTGTGAGTGGCAGATGTCTTCCAAGCAGTGGGGAGAAAGATATAAAACTAATCCCCACTCTAATAAAAACAGTGTCCCGATTAAATATGTATGAACACATATTGATTTGGGGATTAAACAGAAAAGAAAATTGAGCCTGTAATTGAGCCAGGGAACATGTACGGGGTGAGACTTGGGATGTGCTTCTCCAAACACACCTGCTGGGGCTGGGCTGGGGTTGCCCGGGCGTAGGAAAGGTGCTGGGAAGCCTCCAGCACCCACTGGGTGCTCCTCTGCATGAGGGGCCTGGCCAGCCACTGCCTGCTTTTGGAGGAGCCTCTGCCCTTACTTTTCCTAATTTGGGGAAATTCCCAACATTCCAAAGGAATCTGGAGGAATGGGAGGGCTGTACTATTCCCACAGATATCTGAGTTTGAATCTTTAGCTGGTGGGCAGCCAAAGGGGCAGGCTTCCATCCTGTCTTAAGGAAACATGGATTACTGCTCACCTGCTACATGCAGGTCCTGAGGAAATGGAAGAAGCTGAGCCAGGATTCCGCCTACAATCTTTGGACTCTAAATCTAAGGTTGTGTTTACTATAGGCCAGGGCTGGGCGGTCCAGTGACATCAGAACCTGCAGTCATAGGATTGTGCATCCTCTAAGCTGCAAGGGCTTTGGCCTTGAATTCAGCTTGTTGCCTGAAATGTGTCACCTTCCTTCACTAACAAAAGGAAGCTGGGAGGTGTAGGATGGAACCAAAGCCTATCTTCCTACCATGCCTATCTGTAGGCTCCACACCTGTCCTTGGTCAGAAAAAGAAAGGAAGGGGAGAATAGATTGTTGAGCGCCTGCTGTGCATAAGGCCCTGTGCTTGGTAGTCTCAGGTAGACTACAACCTTTTAGCATTCCGAGAATAGTGTGACATAGATCTGATTATTTTCACTTTATAGTGTAGGAAGTAGACTCAGAGATATTTGCTAATCATCGTAGTCACCATCACAATAACGATGGAAATCATTTATTGAGCACCTGCTGTATGTCAGGCACTTTACACCCATTATTGCCAATCCCCACCATGACCCTGTAAAGTAGATCTATTACCTCCATGGTACAGAGAGGAAACCAAGGCTCAGAGGGCAAGAGATGTGGCCATTGCAGTGCACAGCCCAGTCACAGCTTGCCTGACCCTGGCCACTTCTTGCATGGTCCTGGAGGAGTGTGGTTAACTCCCCAGGTTTCCCCTGCCCCAGCCCTGTGTGGTCCAGCCAGAGTGCCTCTCTCTCCCCGAGCTGGGCTCCTGCCTCACAGATCTCTGCATGCTTCTTCCCCAGGAATGTGCAGGTGCCCATTCATCATTTCCCAGCCCACATCCTCTCCCCCGTTCTTCCCTGATGCTCCCTAGTCCCCGCCATGATGTTTGCTGGAATCTGACTTTTCCCGCAGGCCCACTTATCCTCAACGTACACCAAACTTTACAATTGCCAGAGCATTTGCACATTTGTTATCTCATTCAAGGTTCACAATAACCTCATATCCTGTATGACAGATGAAGAATCTGAGGCACAGAAAAGTCAGGCAATTTACCTCAACTCACTGAGCTAATGAGTAACAATGGCAGGTCTGTCTTCCCAGGTGAGATGGCACTTGTCCCCGGAACAGGTGCCTTTGCAGGACCCACGAAGACACAATGACCCTACGTGATGAGGTAAGAGTAATATACAGTTGGTATATTGGGTTTAAGGTTTATACAGACTTGGGTTCCAGATCCTGTGCTCCCTCTAGCTGGTTGTGTGCTCCTGGGCAAGTAATATAACTTCACTGAGCTGTGGTTTTTCTTTTTTTCAAGCTCCTCTTGAACACTTCTCTGGGTCTGGAGCCAGAACCCATACCAGGATACCTTTTAGAAGTGCCCCCAGGACTCAAGGTTTGCCCACATGGCTAATTGTCAGAGAAACACCTGGCAAGCCTGCTGTATATCTCCTTTGGTGTGGCCCTGGGAGAAAAGGAGAAAGGCATCAGATATGAACTGGAGAAATTGGAGTGCTTGGTATCCCATGGCAGTGCCCAGCTCATCAAGACCCATGGGGAGTGCTGAGAGCTCACACACTCCCAGCTGCAGCTGTCTCTGCCCTGTGGTTATTAAAGCAATGACTTAATTTTAACGAGGGTCTAAGTGTTCTTCAGGAAGCTGCTTCAGCCCTGATTAAAGGAATGAATCAGGCAGGATCCAGCCTCTGCCTAGTGAGTCTGGGAACGGCAGCATTGGGCTGTAATAATGGAGGCGGGGAGTTGTGGAACCCAGAGTTGTCTGAGCTGTTTTTTGGAAACCCCAGCATTTGCTGAGGGAACCCAGGCTTTGGAGCTGCATCGTTCTCTTCTTAGAGAGGAGGTCTGGTGGTGGAGGGCCCAGGCTTTTACCACCAGTGGCCTGGGCTTGCCTCCTGGCTCTACTGCTGACCAGCTTGCAGGACTGGGGCAAGGGAAGTAATCTCCCTGAGCCTCAGTTTCTTCTTCTGTGAAATGGATCAGGCTCCTGCTGAGACAATGTGAAAAAGAACATCAGGTGCATTTGCAGAGCCAGGGCCTGGCTCATGCGCAGGTCAGATGAGGAGCTGTCACATGATATCCCATGTTATCAGTTTTCTCTCTCTTGCCTTAAAACCATGTTTGCATGCACCTGCTACATGCAGGCTATGATTAGAACCCCAGGCTTCTGATTCCAAGTCTAGGGATTTTCTTGACTCCAATATTCAAGCTACGAAAAATTCAGCCCCCAGATTCTTGTGGAGGTCCTGTAGAATCTTCTTCTGGAAGTCCTGTTGATTGCAAATTCCAAGCACCTGTAGAACCCGCGGGGGTCTGGAGTTTGTCCTCCAGTCCGGGTGCCCTGACCACTCCCGCAGATGAGAACACAGGTTGAGATGAGTACACAAAGTGGGGACAAGTTGCTCCCTTTCTTCTGCGTCTCTGTCTTAACCCTCATGATGGTTGGGAGAAGGGAACGTGTGGGCAGCTTTCCAAAACCACCTCTCCTACTTCTCAACCTGGCGAAGCTGGGTCTGGGAGGGTTTCTGCCTCCTCCTCTGCCTCTCCTTGGTAGCTCAGCAGGAGCCTCTCAAGGAAAGCCTCGGGCATTTTCTGATTTCTGAAGGCTGCCTACCTGGTGGAGGGAAACCAAAGCCCATTGCATCTAGGGCGGTCCTGTGTGCCACACTCATGGGGTGCAGGGCCCAGTGAGTTTGCCTCCCATGGGCTGAGGCCCCTGGGTTCTCTGAGATGGTTGGTCGCAGGGGGCTGGGCTCCCCAGGAGGTGCTCCCAGCTTCCTTCTGCCTCCCAACCAGTATCACCACATGCTTCTGGGAGGTGTCTGGTCCAGGCTGTCATGAGCAGAGCCCATTGTCACCTCCCTGTGGATGGAGGTAAAGGGTCCAGATGTGATTTTGTCACTCTCCTTCCCAGTATTTTCCCACCTGCCGTGACTTTCAAGGTGTGACATGATCTGGGGGCTGGAGATTTCCCACGTCCCTCTCATGATCCAGGCTCCCTCCTTCTCGTCCTGCTCTAGGCTTCGGGGAGGGTGACCCATATAGACATTCTCTGGCTCCTGAGTGGGTGTCACCATAAGGAGATTGGGGACAGGGTGAAGAGCTGGGTTGGGACATTGGTTTCTCTGATGCTTTCCCACAGGGCCACCACAGCTTACGTGCAATCCTCGAGGGAAGGTCCCCACTTTTTTGAAGGCAGCCCTCTCTGCATAACTCTGTCTGCGTCTAGTAACGGCGCTCTCCCCTCGCCCTCTTGCATGGGATTGTTACAGTCCTGCAGTTCTGCCTCACCCTTGAGCGCTTTAATAAAGTGCCCCTTTATTAAACTCTCCTCACTTGCCTTCTCACCTGGCTGTATGGTCCTGGGCAAGTCACATAACCTCTCTGAGCTGTATTTTTTTCAGGCTTCTCTTAAACACTTCTCTGAGTCTGGAGCCAGAACCTATAGCAGTGTACCTTTTAGAAGTGCCCCCAGGACTCAAGGTTTCCCCACATGGCTAATTGTCAAACACCTGGCAAGCCAGCTATCTTCTTTGGTGTGGCCCTGGGAGAAAAGGAGAAAGGCATCAGATATGAAGCGGAGACATTGCAAGTGGAGCTTGCATGTGTCATTGGTGTCTGCAGGACCCTGGCCAGTGCATCCTGACTGCCTTTCTGATCACCCAGGATGCTAGTGCAGCAGGTGCAATGGCCAATTACAACTGGTTCCCTTCTGATTGGGTAGCTCCTGTGCCAAGCCAATTGTTAAGTATTTTGAATTTCATCCCAACTGCATTCCCTCATTCACTGCTTTCCAGACATGTGGCCAGCTTTCCGTTCCTTAACAACCCAAGCCTGAAATGGCCTTCCCTGACCATGCCCTGTCTTCCAGCACATCCTATGCCATTTACCTGTGTATCAGTCAGGGGCCCAGCAGGAATAGCAGGGCATGCTTGACTGGGAATCTGAAGACTGTGGACAAGGATAAGGGACCCTGCAGCTAGCCACTGTGGGAAGATGCTAGCACCTGGGGTCTGAGGGGGCGCTGGGAGGAAATGTGCTATCAGAATCTGAAGAGGGCTGAGCCAGAGTCACAGAAAGTTGCAGCCACTGCTAGAACCTGGGCAACATAGAAAGGGGGGGCAGGAGAAGGAATGCATGAACTTCTCTCTCCTCCAGTGCTCTGACTTCTTGCTGGAGTCCTCCATTGCCTGAACCCAAGTAGAAGCCAGCCGGAGGCAAGGGAGTCCAGGGGTGCATTCCACAGGGCTCAGCCCCAGGGCATGAAGCAGATCAGAGTGGGGAAAATAATCGAATGGAAGCCAGGGGAAGAAACTGAGAAAAGCCAGCACAACTTTATGTTGTCGTTGTTGTACTTCTCACCACCTAAAATATTCATACTCATTTGGTTGGTTGATAGTTGATTGGCTTTCTTCTCTACTAGAATGTCAGGTCCATAAGGACAGGGACCTTGTCGGCTTGGCCCACTGTGAGATCCTCAAGGTTGAGTGTGTGCCTGGCACATAGCAGGTCCTCAAGAACTCCACCAAATGGAAGAATAGACAAAGAATGAGAATATGCATTAAGCCCTAGGTACAGCCCAGCGGCTCTGCTGCTCAGGGCTCCCCTGGGCCATCTTGGTCCTCCCTTGGGTTCAGGCTGGAGAGGACTGGAAGTAGGCACTCCAGGACAGGGAGGTGGTATGTGTGGGCTCTGTCAGATTGGAGTCTGGCATTGGCTCCAGCAGGCTCCATGGCCACTGTAGCTGGTCTGGGGTTTGTCCTGGTGGATGGGTGGAAGCCGGAGCTGTAACTTCCTCATATCCTTGGCTCTGAGCTGCCGGCCCAACTTTTGAAAGATTGTGGGGAGTGAACAGCCTGGGCTCCGGGAAGCTCAGGCTTGGTGAGAGGCTCCAGCATGAAAGGGGAGAACTTTCTTTGTTTTCCTTCCAGCAACAAAACCAGAGACTGAAAGAGGAGACAGAGGGTGAGCAAGAGAGAGAGAGGGAGAAAGAAAGAAAGAGGAAGAGAGAGAGAGAGAGAGAGAGAGAGAGAGAGAGAGAGAGATGGAATTGGTCCCTCTAATTGAGTCAGATGACCCATTTCCATTGCATCTGTAGTTCCTGGTGTCTGGGGTAGGCCCTGGGGGCAGCGCTGAGAGGAGTCCTTGGCGATGTTTGTTCACTCAGTGTATCTGGGCACAGTGTTATTCACTCGGTTCATTTATCCAGTTGCTTAGCAAATATTCATTGAGCACCTACTATACAGTAAGCCCTGGAGATAACTTGAACAAGCCATGGGTCTGTCCTTTCTGCACACTGCCTACATTGCAAAACCCCCAACAGTGGTATTACTCACATCCCCCAGCCCTTCCAAGATGGTGAGATACTCCCTGAAACCTAACCTGACGGCGATATTCCCAACCTGCAGTGGACCATACCATGGACATTTTTCCACATTACTGTATCATAACAGTTCCTCGTTGGGAGCCTAATTCTGGCAGTGTGTGCATTACTCAGTGAATCCCAATGCAGCCATTCCTTATCTTACTCGGTGCAGCCTCCCAGAGGCATCACTCACACTTGTCGCTCCACCCTTGCGGTGCACGTCTCCCAGGACCCTGCCTGGACCACGCACACTCTTTACACCGTCGAGTCCATCCAGGGGAAAGTTACTCTGCTCACCTCCACCTGGATCTCCCAAACCTACAGAGAAGTATTGTCTGTGGCTGCTGGTGGCAGTGAAAGGGGACAATGTAAAGGCCAGGAGACCGAGCAGAAAAGACAGAAGCCAAAGCCCAGATGCTCCTGGAGCAGGAAGAGGCTTTGCAAAATGGCTACAACTCCTTGCAAATGATGTATGAAATGAGGAGCATATGCCAGGAGCGATTTGTGTGCAGGAGCTTGGCTTGGCTCCCTGGTCCCTCCTGGCAGTGCTGTCTGCTGAGGCCCTGTGCTCCCAGCCCCCAGCATTCTGGGAGTCCTCTGAAGGTGGGCTCCATGCTCCTTCTCCCTCCCTCCTCTCAAGACAAGGTGCTGCACACAGTAGGTGCCCAAGCTGTGTGGCAGATGGATCATTTCTGCCTGTCCTGGTCCTCTGAAGACAGAACAGGAGGGAGGAAGGCTACAGTGGGTCTGAGATCATCAAGCCCAATCTTGGCATTTCCCAGATGGGGAAGTGGAGCGCAGAGAGGAGGATGAGCTTCCAAGGTCACACAAGGAGCCAATGTCTTTTGACCTCCAGCTGGGGGGTTCCTAATGTCACCTACAGGCAAAAGATTTACTTTCTCCTGGGTGGTTCCAAGTCTATTTCTAATTGTGTGGCTTTGGGCAGGCCACATAGCTTCTCTGAGTCTCTATTTCCTCGTCTGTAAAATGGGAGCAGCGACACTAATCTGATAAAGCTTTGCAGTGCTTAGCAACACAGTACATGTGAGCTTCACACTGTGCTTGGCTTATTGAAAGCATGCAGCACCTGGGAGCTCTGGTTTCCCTCCAAGGCTCTAATCCCACGTTTCCAGCAGCCGGTGCCTCAAATTAAAAAGGAAAAGGACGTTTTCCTTTTTGATCCAGAAAGTTATACTTTATAGCTTGCTGTCCCATGGAGGTGATAAATACTCAGTTGAACCTGTGCTTCCC